ATGATGTGAAATTGTCACCACGATCGATGACCACGAGCAAATGTAAATGTAAACTATGCTTTCGGTTAATGTCATTCGTTGATGATTCAGCATGTTCGCAGCTCAGTCATAAAGGAGTCATTCTGAACACTGTCTGCTGATCACAGCCCTCCTGCACTGAGGGGGATTTGTTTTCTGTTTGCAGAACCAACAACTGCGGTTTGTTTGGACAGATTTGAGAGGGCGAAGCAACGATAAGAGGTTGAGAGGAGATATTCTTGTAGGCACACGGGATGTGGCAACAGAATTTCTTTTTGGTCTCCGTGCGACCGCCAGTGACACCGTGTTGGAACCAGTGTGCGAGTAGAAGGAATACATTACTCAGCCAGTGTGGGCACTGACATGACTCATGACGAAATCAGATCACTTCTTTTCTTCCCTTTTGAAATCTGTCTTTTCTGAGCGGCAGTGCACTGACAAATAAGCGAAAAAATCCCACCGCCAAAGACTCTCTTCAACGAAAGGCAAATAGAAGGTACCTCAAATTAAATTGGTGTGGGAGGAGGAGGCACATTCGCCAACACATTCCTGGCTCCTAAGAGCTCCTTTTTCTAATGTAGGAAACCGTTTAATGATAGAGAAGAAGGACAACATTTGCCAACCTTTTAACTCATGACTCATATTGGCAGGTCTGTGCTAGATTATAATAGTTAGAAGTACAGCCAGAAAAGCACTTTGAACGAAAAATGTAAGTTATTTAAAACTTTTAAATCTCTTGATAAGTGTGCACTTTCGAAAAAGACACAGAAAATTGCTTCTTCCTCTGCCAGAGTCTCTCTGTAAGCAGTCCAGGTCTCTGACCCCGGCCCGGGTGCCACTTCATTATTCCGGACCTGCACTATATTGCAACTTGAGGTGCCCAATTGGTCCTCCAAAATACCAACCAAACCAACCAAAATACAAAATAACTGCCATCAAGAAAATACAGCATTGCGCATCAAGGCCACTAATGCCCCGAAATAGAAAAATATTAGAATTAATGATCCGGCTGGTTCATGTGTTTCCCTCCACAGCCAATAGTCGCAGAATCAAACAGAATTCATCCATTCATCGACAGCTACATTATGTCGATGGTGATCAGAGTCAGAGAAAAGTATTTATTTAGTCTCAAATAAACGGTTTTAAATTCGATATTGACTCTAGAATATAACAGCTAAGTAATGGCAGCTGACTTTGCAGTCAAATGTGCATCCCAAAAAATGGGAAACCTACTTTGTTTGGTAATTGCTTCCTGGTCATAACTTGTATTTCAAACCTTCAGGTAAAGCACATTCCCGCCCAATCCAACTCTCCATTGTTGTTTCCGACTTCGAAGTGATTCCAAAACTAAGCTCACATTTTCCCAAAGTCCCATTAAAACAGAGCAGCATGAAAAGCAGTGCTGATACAGCAGCATCCGATCACACTGTCAGGAAAAGGATGCAAATTGGTCACGCAAAACCAGCCCCTCCTCAACAAACCAATTAATTATTTAAGGCCTTCAGTGGAGCAGAGTTAATTTATTGTTATCATTAGCAGAGCTTTCTGTTTGAATCCATATGAGGGAGAGTCAAGCTACAATTACGGGCTCCACAGATGATGGGGGACTTCATACGACTGTGGCAGACAGTCGTTTTTACACTTCACAAGATCACGGGGGGCTGCAGACTTCAGGGCGATGATGAGCTAATAAATGGAAATTAAAAGGATGAGGACGACAAACAAACATCCTGCAAGGACAATTGTCCAAGTGACATGCTGTGTCTCGGCAGAGTAATCAAAGTTCAAAAGAACTTTAAAGTGGCTCATCGTGATACCTCTATAGGACCTACATGATTAAGAAAGTAACTTAAGAAAATCTATTTGTATGAATCTATTGTCTGTCATCAGGTTTATTCCTCCACAAAATAAGACGATATACGGCACGCATGGTAACCAAGCTCCTTAATCTCAGACTACAGCAGGACGCCATGCGTTTTGAGGTCTTGGGCGTTTTTCTGGGCCGACTGTTTTTAGTGGCTCCACTAAAAAATATATATGTAGCTTTAATCCTTAGTGCAATGATGGCCGTGCAGAAAGAACATCATCAACATATGCTATATACCGAACATACCTGTGTGAACCATGTCATTCAGTAGAAACTTGATTGTTCTCATGAGCATTTCAAGGCCGAAAAAAGTTTTCAATAGAATATTTCAGAAACAAAAACTATTTTCTGAACTTCTATTGTGGGAACAAATTCCATCTTTCCTTGAATTCCCGACGAGAAGCGAGAGAGAATTCTCCAGCAGTACGACAATGTCACGGCCAGTCATTGCAAATCAAATCCTGTATTCAAGGATAATGATGTGCAAATGAAAACATGGATCCAGAAGCTCTTTGGCATCATCACAAGGACGCCGTAAAAAAGAAGAAAGATTTTATTACGCTTCTGTCACTCCCTGCAGTGTCTGCCCATTACCTTTCAGCAGCCTAATCAAGTAAATAACTCTGATTTGCAGATGTTTACCGCTTCATGGGAGCACGGAGCCATAACGGCGGCCACGTAGAGAGAGGATCCCGTTGTTTTCCAAGTAGAAATTCATTATCTGCCCCCCACCCAGTATGTGCTCCTCTGCCCAGTGATTGTGCTGATTAGCAAGCCGGGGACGGACAGGTATTGAAGGCAACACTAAATAGATAGGAAATGAATGCACAAAGCACTCAATAGCTGTTTTATAGGCGGCGGTGCTGTACGACTGGCACTAATTGCCGTGTGATTAGTGAGGCGTCTGTGCCCTCGCTGGTCGCTCCGGCTGTCCTGTGATCCGAGCTCTTGCAGACCGGAGCACAGGGGAGACGTGGGTGTGCGGCGGATCGTTGCAGGAGGAAGACACAGGGGCATAATCCACTCCCCCCCCACTCCCTTTTTTCTTTACTGCCCCAGTCAGCCTTTTCCCGTGTGCTGCAATAAAGACAAACTAACTTAAAAGCAATCAAAGGATTTTCCTCCTCGTGATCTCTTGGCGATAGTGTTATCTGTTTCTACCTTGTTAGTGAGAAGAAGAATATCCAAGTACAGAAAAGGAGACTGAGAACATTGGCTGATATTCTGTTGAACAAACCAATTGCATTTCTTTCAGGCCTCGAGTGTCCCTCCGCTGATGGAACTGTACCTTGGACTCTTCGTGTAGAGGCGGATGTCCTCAGACATGAAGTACCCGTGAAAACAAACCATGTTGAACATTTTGAAAGCTTTATGCGCACCAGCCATTCAGTCTGACCTCAATAATGGAGTTCTTGATACGCTGCCATTGCTTTTGTGGCAGAGCAGACAGTGAGACACTGAGGCTTTTGCTCTTATTCATTTTACTGCCCCGGAGAAGCAACAAGGGAATTTGCATCGACGTCAAGTTGTGTTTGCATACTTCTCCCTCTGACCTTTAACTCGCTTATCATAGCAGCCTACTGTTGTTTCTAAAGATATCTGTGTCTGCCTGAAAGTGTCCCAGTACATTTGCAGTATTTATGTGAAATTAATTATATCATGCTGTCTCCTGGCGTGTTGCATTAAAACATTAGCAACTGTGGAGCTTTAGACAATATCGTGTTTGTTAAAAGCAAGTCAAACATAAATTAAATTAAATTAAAATAAACTAAATAATAAATATTTAAGTAGATAATTAAACAGTGACTCCTGCGGTGAATTCAGCCACATTTGAACACTTTATTGTTCGTAATTTATGATAAATATGACTCATCTGCTTCCTGTCTGTTCTTTTCCTTTGTTGTTCCTTTCAGCTCCCTAGAACGCAGTTGAAAAAGACTCTCTCACTGGACAGACCTGATGTTATCCTACATACATGTAATATAAGCTTGTATGTTTCTTCCGAAGGATGATTTGATTGGATTTCATTCAGAAGTAGCCACGAGTGGTAGCTCTAAAAAAACACTTGAAAGGAAAAGCAAGCCCATAACAAAAGACAATTTAATTTGTGCCTATTTCAAGCAGAGTTTGAGTGGTCATGCTCCTTTGGGCTGTTGTTGTTGTTGTTGTTGAGCTTTCCTCTCTGCTTCTGTCCTTCGAGTGCTCGCCGGTAGGATGGCGTTGGACAGCTATCCGAGTTCTTCCCTCCGTCTCCCGGCCTCGTCCTCATCATTCCTCTTTGGGCAGGCGGCCATGACCGTCAGAACCATCCATCAAGCAGTGGGCCGGGTGGCAGAGAGAGAGAGAGAGAGAGAGAGAGAGAGAGAGGATGACAAGCAGCAGAGAAAGGGCAGATGTTTTCCGCAGGAACTGATGTGTGTCCACGTCCATGAGGGATGCCGCTAGGCGGGCGGACGGACAAACCCGCGGCTGATTAGACGCTTATTAAGTCGAGGCCATCGGCTTCCATTCTGCCGCGCGGCTTCCATCCGGCGTGCCAGTAACCGGAGAACCTCCGCGTCTCCGGCGGATAACCTCGCCGTCTAATTAAACTCCAAGCTGTTCTTAAACTCCAAGCTCCTTTTGATACACCAAAAAAGCTGCTTCTGCCATTTGAACCAGAGAACTCGAGGCGCGAGGATTTCTCTCTCGCCGCGTTGTGCTAAGTCAATAAAGCCACACCTCCCTGAGGGCCGGTGAGGATGGAAGGAGTGGAGGAAAGTGAACAGTGAAAGCGGAGAGAGGACTTTGGCCCTAATCCAGAACAATGGTTAAATTGGTGATGTTGAAAGTCTCATCTGTTCCCCGAGTCTCTCCTTCAGTCTCCTTAAAGTCCAATGTGGATTTGCTGCAAATCACAGCGTATCCTTTCTTTCCTGTTTTCCTTTCACTCCAACTCGCATCCTTTTTTATCACCTGCAAGCCCATATGGTCCGGAGTGCCGCATCATAAATGGCAGCGATCTGTGTTTTGAGCTGTGAGTACAATAAAAGGGTTCAGGGTTATGAGCACAATGAAAAATCCAGGCACATAATGGGACCCGGATGGTTTTACTCAAATATAATACAATGTGAGGTATTTTTTCTCATTCTTTATTAAAGAGCAATAATATTTCAAGGGGCTACGGAGGTTAGAGGATTTGTCTACGGGAGAAAAATGAGAAACTAACGGACACCACGCACAGTCTCTCTGGGTGTCCATCACAATAAAGTGTAAAAACAGGGGAAAACGTCCTTTTCCACCCAAATGAAAATCAACCTAATAACTTCTGTTTGATTTTCTGTGTTTTCTTTTTCGTCCTTCAGTTATTTGACCACTCGATCGCTCAGAAGAGCGTACGATGAGCTGCGTTGGTTCGTTCATTCGTCTCCCAGAACAAAGCACTATATGACCAACATATTTAAGAATACGGAGATTCTCAGTTTAAAGAATTTTTGTCAGGCATGATTGCCAACAGCAGTAACAAGTATTTATGTTAACTCACTCACTTATTCGGAAGCTAAAAACAAAGTGATTTTTTGTGTTTATTGACCTTTTGAGGCGCTCCCTTTTACTTTTACTTCCAAATGCAGTGGTCAGGAAGATCTATGGTATGAACGGAGCCTCATGCAGCGTGCAGCCAAACCTCCCCCGCCGCACGGCTAACCTGTCGTTTGCATTATAAATAAACTAGGCGCATGTTGGGAGGCGAGCCTGGTGGCGCTTTTCCCTTCTCCTGCCTGTCGACTGGTTGCACTCGGTTATGTCTGCCGCTTGGCTCGCAGCGGGGGACGCTCGTTTCTTCTGCAAAATCTCTTCCGGTCCGGTTTAACACGTGGAGGCAGGACGTGTCAGAATCACAACACTCTCTCTCTCTCTCTCTTTCGGCTGTCTCACTCTCAAGGTGAGTCCGGCCTCGTCTCCCCTCCTGTACAGACACAACCCATCACATGGCCTGCTGGTGGACGGCCAGCCGCTAATGTCCCCCGTCGTGATTCGTCAAAGAAAATTCTTTGGGCGCAATCACACAGAGCGGGGTGAGAGTGTTTATGAGTTGGAAGGGAGGTGGGCGTTCAAATGTAAACCGCCACAGTCGCCGCTTCATTGACAGCTGGCGGCGGAGGTGGCGGTAAACGCGCCGCTACGGATTGCAGAGCTTGAACACCTTTAGGAACAGTGAAGGTCAAATTTTGAGAATTCACCTTCTTTCTCTTTGTTTTTACTCTCTTTCTCTCTCTCTCTCTCTCTCTCTCTCTCTCTCACTCTAGAACGAGTTCCTGGCAGCCTCGACTGAAAAGGACATCTTTGCGCATCTGGGTCTGGAGTACATCGAGCCCTGGCAGAGGAACGCGTAGGCCTCCGCTCCTCCCGGGCGGCCATGCATCAGTGTTTATCCCATCTGCTCGCCATTCTGCGGCTGTCCCGTGATCCGCTCTTAGAAAAAGCCTCTTGATTCGGTGTTGTTGTCACTGCTATCGCGCTTGTTGTCGTCTGGACTGCGCGATGATTCATAATTCCGCTTGTTCCCGCCGTCGTCTGTTAGCGAGCGCGCGCTCCGCCGTGCCATTCACGGACTGCTTGTCTCTTAAGCGTCGCAATCATTGGAAGGAAACAAAGACAAATCAGGCGGCGTGCGATTCGCCAGAGGTGCAGAAGAGAGAGAGAGAGAGCCTGAAAGAAACGCAGAGAGGGGAGAGGGGGGGGGGAGACAGGAAATGGCGAGGGCTGGGGGGGGTGGGCCTTTTGTCGAGCAAAATGTTGTAATCACCCTCCTCCTGGCGGGAGAGTGCTCGATGCGAAGCTGAGCCAGGTCTCTGGGGAATCGAGAGGCGGGTAATGAGCTTCAGATAGAGGAGCGCTCGGCGTCGCCGTTTAGCTCCCATTTAAGCCGGCGTCCACTGGAGATCATTTAGCTGGCAGAGCGGCAATACAACTCACGCTCCACAATGGATCCCCCCGTCCTCTGATGCTCGGGTGAAATTATAGGCAATCAGCTGCACCGGGAATATCCTGAAGAATTCAGAAGGAAGGTAAATTAGTGCACATGAACGGTCCTCAGCGTTCAAAGGGGGCTGTGGCCCATAAAGCATCTATTATGTTATTGGTTTGAGTTGGGCTGATGTGTTATGCACAACATGTGTCCTTATTTTATCCGTATATGATTCATTTATGAAGAAACTTTATTGATCTTTGTGGGCAATTTGGTTGAATCGGCATGGCCCACTTTCCCATGATGCACTGTGCCTCTCTCCCATGGTGCCTCAACAAGAGATAAGACGGGTGAGAGCCGGGCATTCTTGTAAATCACCCTATTTAAAGATCTTTTAAGTAGAACAGTCCGGCGCTTTGAGGACTCGACCCGGGCATCCGACCGCCACCCCTTCTTCACTCTCCCTCTGGGTCCCTTTCACTCCGACTCAAAACTCACTCTGAAGGCTCTGAGTGTGCCAGATGGAGCGAGCACCAGGCTCTCCTGGGTTGTCTGATGTTTCCACAGGAAATGATTCTTAGCAAAAAATAGGGAATCTCTCCATAGAGGTTTGGAGCACAAATAAAAAAATAACTAAACCAACCTCGCTTTGGTTTTTCCTTTTTTCAAGTGCAAAAATGATCTTTTTTTCTACAGGCACATCACTTATGCACCAATATAAAGGGGTTAAAGTTGCAGCACTCAATTTGAAAAGTTGAACTGCATATAAAGCTGAAAAGTAGCTCCAACACACTGCGTCCTTTGAGTGGTATCACAATAAAACCATTATTAAGTGAGACCATATTTCCTCTTAGTTACTCTGAACTGTATCTGAATCTGAACTCTAGCACATGTGGATGCCTCACAAAACTGATTATACCGGAGTGTTTCAACACTTAACCTTAGTGAACTCGAGGTAATTACAGATTGTCATACAGAACTTAATTCACAAAGCACGTGCATGTTATTCAGACAGCCTCTTTTAATTCCAGTGTTTACTTCAGTCCTGCTCTCTAAATGTATCTACAAAAAACTGCATCATTGTAAAGAAATTCTTTAAGTATTCAAAGTTAAATAACATAATTTTATGTACAAAATGACATTTGTGCATTAATAAACATTATTGGATAGTTTAATTTTCATCTAAAGATGAAGCTACTTTAAACTGCTTCGACCACGTTGGTTAATTCAATCCACAACTATCAATAACATCTCCTGTGCTCCCTCTGGGTTGAATTATATAGGTAAAGTACATGTATTGGTATTAGTAAATTATGAAAAATAACATCATAGAGATTCGGGGCGCAATTGAAGCGTGAAAAGGAGGATAGAGGATTGAACAGTACATTCAACATTACATTACATGTAATTTAGCTGACGCTTTTATCCAAAGCGACTTACAATAAGTGCCTTTAACCATAGCGGTACAAACTAAGAAGAACAAGAACCAAGAAAGTGCAATTTCATCAAATAAGCCAATTTACAATTTGCTGTAGATAAGTGGCTTATAAGTACAACTTAAGTGCTACAATTTGTTAATCTTTAGTCGAGGTAGTGTGTGTGTCACCACTCCTTTCAACAATTGCTACTTTGACTTTCTATAATTATTCTCTCTCAGTGTAAAATGTGTAAAACTAAAGATCAGAGTGGCAACCAGTTGTCGGACACTGCATTACTGTTTGTTGCTCTACACAGGCTAACTATTTGGGGGGGAAATTACATTATTGACCAATTCTATTAACTTAGAGAAGGTCCAACTCTAAAGCCTCAGATCCATCTAATTTGTTTATGCATCACTTTCAGCCAATCACACCTGTTTTTTTTCTATGTAAATCGCTGCCATGGGCTGGTCGCAGCCCGGCAAACCTTTTTTTTTGCATGTTTAATGTCTGAAGTCTTACTGCGATGACAGAAGTGTGAATATAGGCAAAAATTGCTTCCAGGAATTTGCATGAAAGTGCTGATTTGCTGACAAAATGCTTTTTTATTTTGCCATCCAATCACTTTTAATTTAATTTCTACTTTTGCAATCATTTCCAGACCCCAGTTTTCTTTCAGTAACATTAGGCGCCAAAATCCTTCAATCATTGCAGTCACAACCGTTCTTTGTGCTCAGCCGGATCTGTCAAGCCACGGGAGCTTTATATTGACACCTGGTTGGTGTTTGCCAGCAACGTCTCATTCATTCCGTGGTGCAACATAGCAGCCTCCCTCCTGACCTTTTAGCAGCCTCTGCAGTGGGATGGATTAACTACAGGCACCGGCTCAGGGGGGCCGAGCGGCCACAGGCGCCTTGGACCAGAGACTCAGTTCAAATTGATTATCAATAGCAGTTCAACTACTTCTTGCCAAGTCAACCAAAAACACTGAAAGAAACAAAAGAGCCACAAAGTCAAGAAATTACTACAAAGAGATGCAAAACTACTGAAAAAACACCCCAAATGCAAATCAACTGCAAAAAAATGCCCAACGACAACAAAGAGACGAAAAAGAACAAGTGCTTGATTTCACAAAGGACACAAATGAAACATAAAAATGTGGTACATTTATGACACAAAACAAGTACAAATGGATGCAGATCCTAAACAACCACAAGGTCTACTAAATAATTTGACAGATCGATTAGAAAGATACCAAAAAAACGTCACAAACAGACACAAAAACGACTACAAAGAGAGAGAAGAATCAATTACCAAAATGACTACATAGAAATTACCAGGGCCCGTCTCATAATTCATCCATGGATACATTGCAATGTAAAATGACGTGAGGTCACTCTGCAGCTCCGCCAATTTGTCACTGCAGATGTTGTGAGGTTGATCGAGGGAGCCGATGATGTGGGAATGGTTTGCATTGATAGGGAGCGCTCAAAGATGAATGGGCGTCTCTTTGAGGAGGACACATGTACCCGTGGGAACATGCATCAGCCGTAATGTCTCCCCAGCGACGCTCTGAAGATAGAATATGAAGTGTCGCTGTCCTCTCAAAGTCACGTGGCGAAAGGTCACCAGGAACAATGGACGACTAATGTGAATAATTGTTGGGAGACACCCCTCAGAGCGCCAGCGTCTGGGAACAAACTGCCAAAAAGGAGCTGACACACAAATCCCGATTAGTTTAATTATCATTGTGATAACCGTCAATGCGGCGAAGAACATCACCGCTTTCATCACAGCGTGATCCGCTAGCACATCTGTCACATCTGTCTGTGTGAAAAGGGGAGGACCGAAATAGATCGGGACCAAGCGCCGCTGAAATGTCCACGTCGAGATCCCGGAGCGAACGTCCTCTCGCATTGTATCGGAAGACAGGGATTTATTGCCCGTGCTGTGGGGGGGCTTAAATGCGAGTGTTGGGGCCGGTCAGAGCCAATGGCAGGAGGTGACAGAACAAGGACGCTGCGTTTCCTTGCCTCTCAAGGCCTGTCACAAGCTCAGCCGGGGAGAAGTGATGCTTCGACGGTTTGACTCCAAAACAACAGATTTATTTGGGTTCAAATCACGTTCGAGGCCGCGATTTCTCACTTAAACAAAATAAAAAAAAGGCTCCATCAATAAAATACCAGGGCACAATTAGAAAGTGTAAAAAACAGGGATAGCAAACAGAAGATCTCTGTCATGAGTGAAGCTGTTTGAAATGGATCTGAGGGATTATTGGAGACGAACTCCAGTCGGTGTCACGGTGACTTTCCGACTCACCCGAGCCCACAAGAACAACGGCACACTCTCTTAACAAACTTTACTTTGAGGTGACCTTCTCCCTTCGTGATGAACGAGCTGCGTCCTTGCTTTCGGGGAGGGCGGACAGTTTCTGGGGGCGCGCGTCCTCCTCCACAGGTGGCAGAGGAACAAAGCGGAGGATTAGGATGAAGAGATGAGCCATCTGCTGCAACATGTCACCGCGGTTCCACACCTCCCTCCGCTTCCTGCTTTCTACCAGGCAGTTTGTCTTTGAAAGTGAGTGTGCGCGCCACTTTATTTACTCCACGTGTTTGTGCTAATGTGTGTGTGTCTGTGTGTGTGTGTGTGTGCAGACGCATGTTTGTGCCTTTTCCAATGTGTCAGTTTATCACTCAATGTACGCGTGCTCTTTGTTTTCGTCCATTCTATAAAGATCTTCAGTGCACTGTCACAACCTGGCTGTTGAGCCACGACAAACACACGGGATTGTAGACTGCACGTATAATTCATTTGTCGTTCTTCAAGAAAAGGGGAAAAAGAGACAAAGCTCCCGTGAACGAAGGGCGAAAGGCCAACCAAGAGAGCGAGGACTGGGGCAGTTAAATGCAACTGCAAAACTGGCCAGGTGCGATCACGAGTTCCTCCTGCCATGCACTGGTGTAGTCTATATGTTTGCAGTGAGTATACTGTGATTTTGCCCGTCCCAGAGCGAGGGGGTGGGACGGGTCATTTTTTTATTGATGGCACACGATCGTGAATTTCTGAACGAAAGTTAGAACGTTCTGTCACAACGTAGTGTTGTTACGTACGGGCCTTTTGTTGGTGGTTGTACAGCGGATACCTGCAGGTAAACTACAGCACTGCCATTTAAATCTCTTTTTGGTATTTTGTTAACCTCCAGGCATGAAATCAGCTAAAGTAGTTACAAGCACAAAATGGAAACAGCTTTGATGTTCATTGTAATATTTAACTCAATTTCATTTGCACTGTCATAATTGCATCATTTCAACTTTACATAAACTCAAATTTGCATTTCGATCATTATGAAAAGCTGCGGCCGCACAAGCTCCGCGAGAGCCTTTAACAGACAAAAAGCATGTGGAAAGAAATGCTTGCTTGGTCAAAACCTTTAGGGCAAGATCATTTTTGTGCTTCTGTGTGCTCACACAAGATTGCGGTGTAGTAATTTTGGTGTAATATCTTTACACAGGAGACCTCCAACTGTCTAAATCGTGGTTTATTTTTAACATGATTGGGGATTTTCCTCAGCCTTGAAGCCGTATAAACTGTCATCCTTCATGGGTCCTGACAGTGAGTGGAGCTTTGTTCCTGAACCAAAACAGTAGCGGCGACGACCGCCA